TGACACCATGGTATAATGAGCACACTCGCACCCTAAAGAGAGCAGCCCGGAAAATGGAGCACAGCTGGAGGAAAACAAAACTAGAGGTATTTCGTACTGCATGATGGAAAAGTACCCTATCCTACAGAAAAGCATTAAAAACTGCTAGAAACACATTTCATTACACCAAATACACAAAATAATGTTATTTTTAGCAGCATCATATGACCCCTTTAAAGACCCACATGTATACACTTTTCTTCATCGTCTTGTATTAATTATTTTAATGTTACTTGCTCACTTTCCTAGTAAAGCGGTGCTAGCCAGTATTTTCCTCCCGCAGTGCGCTGGCAGACCGGCGGGGAGACTCGTGGAGACGAAATAAAGCAGTAAGAGAACATTAAATTGTTAGGTCAACTTTAAAACACATGTAATCACCTTATTTGTTTTATACCAATGCTACCTGTGAGGTATAAATGCATTTGGGTGAATAAATGTCTGTAAGAACATCGGATGGACTGTATTTGTGTCATTTTGTTAGGTTAATGCTTCAGCTACAGATGATGTGTTGCGCAATTGTTAATTGGGTTTCTTTCTTTAGTAATGGCATTCATTCTCGCTACATAAGATACCTGTCTGTTATGTAGTGCCCTGTTATACTGCATTACTGTGTAATATTTATGGTTTCTATAGCCGTGGCATCATTATGATGGTATGAAGAGATGGATTAATTCATGTAGGACGCCACTGAAGGCCTAGGTGTAAAATGCACAGCCTGCCACTGCCTGAATGTCAGCAGAGACCAGGACAATTAGATGAGCCCCAGAGACAGATCCCCTGTGAAGACCTTGTCTCAGACGACCACCGGGACAAGACCACAGGAGCCAGATGAGTCCTCTGCACAATGTGACTTTGATGCAGCCTGAAATTGAACTGCTGGTTTGTCTGGTCAGAGGAGAACTGGCCCCCGACTGAGCCTGGTTTCTCCCTTAATTTCCAGCAATATCGTCGACTTGATTGCACAGATACTATTTAAACTGAACTGAGCTGGATGGTGACATCACTGAATTCAGTGATGAACTGCCTTTAACTGAAAACTGAGTGTTTACTATTGGCCTTTTGCATTATTGACACACTATTTTCCTAATTAATGCTGTAAAGCTGCTATGACACAATCTGTATTGTTAAAAGCGCTATATAAATAAAGGTGACTTGACTTGACAAACCGGAAGAGGTAGGTATAGTTTGAGACAGCGCCAATGGTGTGAGAATAGATTACTCACCGCTGACTGGACGAGACATCTGACAATCAAGGTATACAGGAAGAACAGCAGACTAGCGGTAGAAAGTTCGGAGATGGTCTTAAAGTAATACAGCTTAAATGTATTGTATGAATTGCCCTTACTATGGATTAAAAAAAGAATATGCATGTACATTTACAACACTGTACTTATATTACCTTTTAAACAGATTACAAAAAAACTAGTTAACACTAATGGGAGGGTGTTTATAATACAGTGTCTATGGGAGTGACGGTACATTTGACATTGTTCTCTCTTCTGACTGTCGTTCAGTCTCTCTCAATTATCTTTTTTTTTTAATAAGTCGTGAAAACACTAGATTGTGGCAATTTTCTTTTGCTATTTGAGCAAATGGGAATGCAAAAAAAACAAAAAAAAAACAGGCAGAGGTGTGTTAAATTGGGATTTTTGTGGGGCAGAGATAATTTAAAGGGGAGAATATTAATACAAAATATTAAGAGTTGAACAGTCTTTTTATTAGGAAAATTAAACTGGAATTGAGTTATATCAAACAGCATTAAGGGTGCTTTCACACTAGCACTTTTGGTGCTCACCCGGGTTCGATTGATGTCAGAGTTCGGTTCGTTTGGATGATGAACGCTGTCCGAACTCGGGTGCACACCCGCGAACCGTACCCGAGTCTGCTTAAAAGGGTGGTCTGGGGTACGGTTCATTTGAACTCTGGTAGGCTACGGTTTCCTGCTGGATGGTGACATCACTGAATTCAGTGATGAACTGCCTTTAACTGAAAACTGAGTGTTTACTATTGGCCTTTTGCATTATTGACACACTATTTTCCTAATTAATGCTGTAAAGCTGCTATGACACAATCTGTATTGTTAAAAGCGCTATATAAATAAAGGTGACTTGACTTGACAAACCGGAAGAGGTAGGTATAGTTTGAGACAGCGCCAATGGTGTGAGAATAGATTACTCACCGCTGACTGGACGAGACATCTGACAATCAAGGTATACAGGAAGAACAGCAGACTAGCGGTAGAAAGTTCGGAGATGGTCTTAAAGTAATACAGCTTAAATGTATTGTATGAATTGCCCTTACTATGGATTAAAAAAAGAATATGCATGTACATTTACAACACTGTACTTATATTACCTTTTAAACAGATTACAAAAAAAATAGTTAACACTAATGGGAGGGTGTTTATAATACAGTGTCTATGGGAGTGACGGTACATTTGACATTGTTCTCTCTTCTGACTGTCGTTCAGTCTCTCTCAATTATCTTTTTTTTTTAATAAGTCGTGAAAACACTAGATTGTGGCAATTTTCTTTTGCTATTTGAGCAAATGGGAATGCAAAAAAAACAAAAAAAAAACAGGCAGAGGTGTGTTAAATTGGGATTTTTGTGGGGCAGAGATAATTTAAAGGGGAGAATATTAATACAAAATATTAAGAGTTGAACAGTCTTTTTATTAGGAAAATTAAACTGGAATTGAGTTATATCAAACAGCATTAAGGGTGCTTTCACACTAGCACTTTTGGTGCTCACCCGGGTTCGATTGATGTCAGAGTTCGGTTCGTTTGGATGATGAACGCTGTCCGAACTCGGGTGCACACCCGCGAACCGTACCCGAGTCTGCTTAAAAGGGTGGTCTGGGGTACGGTTCATTTGAACTCTGGTAGGCTACGGTTTCCT